TCGGGAAGGGGTGGCTGGTTTGGTCCCGCAGCCCCGGGGTGGGCGATAGGACCACCTGCCCCTCCGCCCCGCCGCCGCCGGTGACATTCCCAGCCGAGGCAGCTGAAGCGGCGGCGGCCGCCGCGCAACACAACAGGGCGAGGCCGCCCAGGCTCGGCAGGCTCCTCATGGCGCGCTCGGCTCCGCCATTCATTCATTCATGCGGTCGGTCGGTCAGTCATCTTCTCCTCCCTGCCGTCCGACCATGGAAGCCGTCGCCGCCACTGCCGCCACCGGGCGCACCATCGCCACCTCCCTCTGACAGGCGGCCGGCCCCGCGGGCGGGCCTCAGAGCGGAGGGAGAGACCCGGCGGAGCGCGCACTGCCCGCCCTCCCCGATAGACAGCCGGGATCCACCAATAGGAAGCCGCGCCCACCCACGTGACCCGCTCGCTCCCCGGCCTCTTTGTAACGGTGCGGACCAATCAGAGGACGCAGAAGGGAGCAGGCGGAACGTCGGGAGGCGCGAGCGGCGCTGGAGCCGGCCCGGTTCGCGGCTGCCCCGGCTTTGTCTACCCACAGAGCGGGACGCGGGCCTCGGGCACCCGGCGCCGCCGAGGAGACAAAGGACGCGCCCCGCGCGGCAGACACCCGGCCAAGTCATCTGTTCCACTGGGCTCCGAATTGGACTCGGGGCGGGGAGTCCCCTGGGGGCAGCATCTCCGCCCTCCTGAACAATGGGGACGCCGAGCGGTACCCCGACTCGGGCGGGGACCTGACTGCACCGCGGCGATGGGTGCGGGAGGTGGCAGCGGTATATAGATGGGTACTCTACACTCACTTTGTTGCTTAAGAGAGCCTGGCCCCCGCCCTTCAGTGTCAGCACTGCCACCCCCATTTCAGAGATGGGGAAACTGAAGCTCTTGCTGATGGCTTCAGCAAGTCAGTCCTAGAACCCCCAACAGACACCTGCTAGGGGTCTGGCGCTGAACTAATTTGAATGGGACAGTCTAGAGTCCCATCGTGAGCACAAGGTGCAAGCTTCAGGCGCGGGGGAGACACACTCGCATACATACTTTGCGGCCCGAACCTGGGGAAGAATAGGATAGAACCAGGTTGAATTTCAGCTCCTCACCTCTTGCTGAGTGTTTTTGTGGCTCAAGCAGTGTTCTCAACCACTTAAATGGTGAGATGAGAGGACACACCCCATTCCCCTCACAGAGCTGTTGTGAGCATGATATCATGTACAAGAAGGGCTTAGTACTTGACCCACCCTTCTAAACCATCATTAATGCTAACCACTCAGGGTTGCACCATGTCAGGACACTCCTGAGGTTGGAAAGCAGCCTGCACTGCCTCTACATCCCCAGAGATTCCCGCCTGTGGCTGGCCTTGGGGTGGGGCTGATAGCATAGCTTGACCCTGGATGACATTAAAGTCTGGAAGACGCTGGAAATCAGGCAGGCAAACTTACACCATCACTAGGATCCAGTGCAGTGTTCGACTCCGTAGCCTCGGCTGAGCAACTTCTAAATTCAGCCTGGCAGATCAAGTTTCTCTTCCGATGGTTTAGTCCCATCCTACCAGCCTCACTGCTAAAGGCAGCCCTGGCCTCTCCTAGGATGCTTGCCTTTGTGCATGGTTTCCCATTAGTCATTCGCCTCTAACCAGACAGGCAGGGTGAGATTTGTGTGTGAACTCGTGCGTGTTAATGAAAGCATGCATTTATTTGCCTGAATGAGTGGTGGGTGGAGAGAGGATATGTTCAAGCTTGTGTATGAAAGCATAAACACATTTGTTTTTCTGAGATTGGGTGTGTGTGTAGTCTGTGAATATAAGAACTTGTGTAAATTCATATGATATGTTTAACATAATAATGTGTGCATGTGTATCAGTGTTGTGTTTTGGGTCAATCTTCTGTTTTTGAATGTGACGTTGTCTCTGGCTGTGTCTTTATAGACCTATCTATATAAGAAAGGGGGCAAAATGGGAGGGCTATATATTGTTCTGAAGATCAATATTTAGCAAGTACTGACCAGAGTTCTATTTTTACTTGTCCTTAATAAGGGAGTGGACATGGCATTCCCTCCCAAGCCATATTCTTTCGGTTCCTCAACCCCAACCAAAATGCCACATCCTCTAGGACACTTAAATTTCTGAGTGGGAGTTCACCCCCCCCCCCGACACACACACACATTTCCCTACTGTCCTTTGTTTATAACCATGCTCTTTCAACCCCTGCCTCTTCCTAAAAGGATTAATGATGGCTTTCAGACATATGTACCACAAATAAAATGAACCACCCACATGACTTAATTACTTCTCCTGGGCACTAATCCACCTTAGGACTAGAACTTGTGATTAATACCCCTGTCTTCCTCTTCCATCAGGCTGTCTCTGTGCCACTGCATAGCAGTGAACACTAGTACATGCTGGCTAAACTGAAAGATCCTGTTGTGCTCATAGGGAAAGCTGGGTCTTTACAGCCACAGATTCCGATCAAGTTTCCCTGGAGGAAAACTTTACCTTCTCCGAACCTCAGTTTCCTGGTCTATAAAAGGAGGCCATTAATTCCTTAAACAAATCAGAACTCTTTTAAAAAAATACCCTGACACACAAAATGCACTCTGTGTGTCACTTCATATTTTGGTTGCTATTGCTAATTCTGAGTTTTGTTAGCTGAAAGACTAACAGACAGAAACCTCTGTCTGCAGAGACCTCTGTCCCATAAACTACAGATCAGGTGACATGGTTTGACACTTGCCCTACTGGATATTTCCAAATGGTTTCTAAAAACTGCTGGGCTGGCCTGGGCTGTGCTGTATCAGAGATTCTCTGCCACCGGAGGAGAAAAGCTGATTTGGCTTTTCTGCCAGGAGGATCCCAGAGCAAAGGCGTAGAAGACCTTGCAGAGTGACCAGGTCTCCTGGGCCTCAGGTAAGGATGTTTCAGGCTAGGTTTCTCAGGTGGGACAATTAGCTAGAAACATGGCAAAGATATGTTGTTTTATCTTTATGATAAAACTTTGAGACAGTTTCCCTTTATAGCGTAGACTGGCTGCAGTCTCCCAAGTGCTAGCGTCCAGATATATATACCACTCCAGCTCTGTAAAATAACTTAAACATACTATTATTACTACATTCAACATTAATTTATTACTTTTTAAAAGTTTATTTTGTTCGTGTGTATGCACATGATCACAGGCATGCCTTGGTTCACATGTAGAAGTCAGAAGACATTTTGGAGGAGCTGGTTCTCTCCTTCCTCTGTGTGGGTTTCACATGGAAAACTCAGGTTGCCAGGCTTGGTACCTAGTGCCTTTGTCCTCTAAGTCATCTCACCAGCCCACAGTTTTTAATTCTGCTTTGATTTTATCTCTAAACCACAAACTACAAGATGGCTTGTTTTATTAAGTTTTCTGAAGCAGAGTTTTACTTTGTGATCCGGGCTGGCCTGCAACTCCCTATGTAGCCCAGTTTAGGTTAGCACTCACAATAGTCCTCTACCTTAGTTTCCTGAATACTAGGATTGCATCATGCCCAACATGACTTATTTTGTAAGTAAACTTTATAGTTCACGTTTAAAAATGGGAAATACCATATATATCCAACATCAGAAAAAAGGAATACATCTGTTCAATTTAATTATATAACATCATATCAGGGTGGGTATCAAGATAGTAGAGCTGATATCAATGCCAGCTAATAATAGAGTGTGCATGTGCTAGTCATGAGATCTGCATGATTTACTTCAGTGAACCCTCAGAACCTTACTTATGTCCTAGACTGTTTGGGTTACTATAACAAAGACTATGGCACTTACAAACAATGCCAATTTGTTTCTTACAATTTTGGTGGTTAAGAAATCCAAGATCAAGATGCCGCCACCTTGTAGAGTGTCTGGGAAGAGCCTTATTCCTAGTTCACAGATACCATCCTTTCACTGTCTTATTGTGGAAGAAAGGACAAAGGAGTTGTCTAGGATCTTGTCTAGTTGTCTAGTTGGCTGGATTCAGGCTGGCACCATTAACTGCAAAGGGAGAATGCTCATGATATCATGTTAGGAAGAGAAGAGCAGACAAAAGTGGTGACTCTGACGCTGTGTATCAGAATGGGGTTCAGTATTTTTCCTGTTGTCCCACTATGGCAGTTAAGGTCACAAAGATGCAGAGAAGGTCTGCTCAGAGTCTGCTTGAGCAGATGCTAAAGAAGGGACAGTCTAATTCCACTTTGTGCTAGGCACTAGCTAAGCATGAAATCCACAGAATCAGCTCAGAAATTCTTGAGGTAAGAGGAGTCTTGTGATGGGGCAGGCACTGTTCCGGAGTTTTATACTCCCGGAATCTGAGTAGAGTGAGTGCCTTGCATGCGTGGGACGTTGAATTTGATCCTCAGCACCATAAAAACAGAAACACATTCATTCCTTATAGTTGGGACTGTCATCTATACTTGAAAGAAATAGGAAAATAAATGTCTAAAAGGTTGAGACTTGCCCAAGGTCTGCCTGACTTCAAAGCCAATTCTTGTCTCTATACTGGAGTCTGTTAATGTGGCCACTGGCTGTTGCACATAGCAGGAGGCCAAAGGCAAATACTGAACAAAGGTCAAACACATTCACCAAATTTAGCCCTCCTGCTAGAGCAGCAGTTCAGAAAAAAAAGAAGTATTGGAAGTCAGAAAGCATAAAAATATGATAGCAAAGGCTTAATGATACACAGACTCTTTGCCCTTTGTGGTTTCACTGAAACATAAGTGCTAATACAGACTCTTACTAATCCTTCAGGAACCTGGTCTCCTATCAGATGTGGCTGAATGCAAGGTTTGGCATCTTCTGCAGACAACTGTAGGGTTATCAGGTCCACTATTAATCAAGTCTGTCTAGCAAAGAACACAGTAGACAACTCCCAGAAGAGGAAGCGCATGACTAAGAAACAAGAAATGCTGCATGTGCGGCTAGAGTAGTCAGCAATGCAATCTAAGATGGCAGATCACTATCCTTTTAAACCTACTGATTTGCATGAAATAAAAATATTTTAAGAACTACTTTTACTTGCTACTGATCAAACAGTGTCACTCACAGTTGTTAGGACTGTAAAAATGAATAGAATGAAGTCTTTCTAGGGAGCCTTGAACTTGTTCATTCTTATTTTTTGACTCTCTTCTCCTCCTCCTTTTCATTCTTCTTCGACTCTTAATTATAACTAAGATTCTACTCAAATAAAATAAATATTTGTGTTTGTGTTTTTGTGTGTGTGTGTGTGTGTGTGTGTGTGTGTACAAAAATTGAATGCTTGGAATGATGGCAGATGCTTATGATCCCAAGACTTCGGAGGTAGAGGTAGAGATTAAGACCAGCCTGGAGATCATGCCTCAGGGAGGGAA